TCCCATGTCATACTAAAAAGTCTTTGAAAAGCTCAGCCCACTCCTTTAGTTCAGGAATTGATACTTGTGTATGGTGACGAGTGTCTATGATTTGCTTCAAAGCCCTTCAGCGTACACAAGGTAGTAAGTACTACGGCACGTACGTGTCGCATGCTAAGGACAGCCAGTGCCGCTTCACACTCCAGCGGTTGTTGCGAGTATTCTAATCAGCAATCTCTCTCTAGAAATTTCAATTACCTTCATCCTTAAAAGGAAATTAGCATAAGGAATGTTCAAACTGAATTTTCACTGGTGAAATTGGTGGCTTATTAACTACCATAATGTACATTAGAAACAGACTCTCATTAATGCAATGAATGGGACCCAAGACACAGCTCAAAATTCTAGAAATTTTCCTGTCCTTGCCTGACCATGGAAGTTATACATCTCAACGACGATCATTCAGGACTAGACCACTGGTCCAGAAGACACTGGCTGCTTCACCCCACCTCTAACTGTTGTCCTTATTATGAAACTGTGATGCCATAAACAAACCGAGGATCTATTATGACTTTAATTTACATACGGAGAATACATTTGGCTTCCAATACCCACTTCTTTCTCTTGCTGGCACCACTCCATTGAGAAAGGGCACCTTATACCACAATGAACACGATCCTTCCATCTCTGCAACGTTCTTACCAGCTCCTCCACCCCACGTTCACTTCCAAAGCATCCCAGGACAGAAAGGGAAACCTAAATCACAACTGTAGGGTGAGCTGCTCCCATTTGGTTTCTTTAGAGGCCAGAATTCACTTTTCTCCTCTTTGCATGGGCTTGGACGATAATATGGGCGACAACAATCTTGCCATGCATTGTTCTTTTTTTAGCCAGTTTGTCTCTGCGGTTAGGGACGACTACAAATGCCGAGGAATGCAGAGTTCTCATTATACAGTCCCACAGACGTGCTCCTTCTTTTAGTTTGTGAAATACATTTTCGATGTGTGATAAAATAATTTGTTATCTCAACCACTCTCGTGGAAGGCGCCGTTATTAGTGCCATCGTTATTCTCATCACGCTGATCAGAAAGCTGAAGCAGAAGTGGAATTCAACAGCGTGTGAAATATTTGCTACAGAGACAACTGTGAGCAAGTCAAACTATTTGAACATGCTTTTAAAAGTCTGGCTTGGGCATGCTATATCTAAAAATCTGAACATGTGAACATGTCACTTTAGGATGTGAGGTTGTTAGTTTGATTTTTTTTTTGAAAAGTCCTGTTTTAAAATGGATAATAACTCCCTACTGTCAAAAAAGATTTAGTCTAACACATGTGATCTAAAAGGACATTTGAAAAACCCAGGTTAGGGTGGGTTTGGTGCTGCACACTTTTTTTTTAATCCCAGCACTACAGGTGGAACTCTGTAAATTCAAGGTCAACCTGGTCCACATAGTGAGTTCCGAGATAGTCAGGGCTATGTAGGAAAAAAGAAAAGACCTGGCTATATCTGGCTGCATGACTTTTTTTTTTTCAAACTCACTCTATTGGTTATTTATTGCTGTGTAACAAATTACCCCAACTTGGCACATGAAAACAACATGAACCTCTGATTCTGTGTGCCAATGAGCTGTGCTCAGATTCAACTACACATCTGTGTGATGCCCCTCAAACTGAGGAACATGCCATGTCTCTAGTGCTCACTGGCTGAGAACAATTCTAAGCACATACACCTTCTCCCCAACACGCACATGGCTTAGGTGCAGAGATTATAGGTGGGCCCGTAAGAGTCAGAGACCAAGAGTCCACTCTGGGGTCAGACAAGGTTTGGATCACACTCCAATTGTCCCACTTTCTAATTTAGTAACCTTGAGAAAACTGTTCTGCCTCTTGGGACCTCAGTTTCCCTGTACAAATGAAAGGAGAACAGCAGCTCCCATCTCGCTGAGCTGCTCAGGGAAGCAGACAAGGGCACGCATGTGAGGCCCAGGGCATGTCATCTACAACTGTCATGCTCACAAGCTGCTGACTAGTCCCCTCCTTAGTCTCAGAGTGCCGAGCCTAAGCCCAAAGCCAGACTTCATCCATCCCCAGCATTGGCAGATGTTAACCATTGTCTGCCATGCTATCCACCCTCAGCCACAGGTCCCCAAACTGAAGCTGCACAAGGCGGCCTCCATCCTGTGAGTTATGCCTCATTTCTGTGTGTCTCCAGCACTCTCCCCGACGTCCAGCACACAGCTCATCAAAAGACGCTTGTAGAGTTGAATAAAGCTTCAAATGTAGTGATGTGCACTATATATGCTCACGCGGCTTGGGAGATGTGTAATGATAACAAGAAAGCAGGACAGAGAAACATGTGGTTGTGATGTTCCTAACACTTAGAAGCAAAGGGAACATGTGTTTATATGTGACCTGAGGATTTCAATGTTAAAATCCTCATAGTGTTCACTCATATTTCTAGGAATGCATAAAATCCCTCTTTGGCGGATGAACAAACTTGGGCAGAGGGACTGCTGCCAGGTCACAAAAGTGATGGGGGTGTGCACAGCAGCCTGCCTATGTACAACCTGTCCTACCGCAGGGGCATGCCTGGGGCTTGGCACCCAAGGGAAATCAATAACATTTATAACCATTCCATCTAATCCAAGAAGAAGGCAGCTTCCGACTGGTATGTGAAAGTCAGCGTGTGTGTCCATAAGGGCCCCAATTGTAGCCTGCACTAGATTAGAAAAGAAAAAGGGAAAAAATGCAATTGAACAAGCCCCTGGAGGCCCAGAAAAACAAGTAACCTCACCTACAGCTTCATATCGACAGACTGAGTTTAATTTACAAACATAGATAGAAAGTTTGAGTGTCTAATTTTGCTTTTATGAGAGGTAAATAATAGCTGTCAGGTCCCACTTTTGACACCACTGAACAGCCTCAAGGATAAAGCCCAAAACTGAAAATGCAGCCACCTAAAAACCACACATCCACTTGGGCAGAAACCAGTTATGCCAACTCAGCGGGGAGGTTTACTAGGAAGGCAGGCTCGTCCTACAAAACAGCATCACATGAGTAAGATGTGAAAGATACTTAAGTATGGATGTCTTCTAAAATCAAAAAGCTAATTAAACTTAGCTTCTTCAGAAAGCAAAGTTGGAAAAGCTAGCGGGTAAAATGCATTCTCTTATTTCTGAACATAATCAAGAACAATAAAGGGTTAATCGGTTTGAAACATTCGTCACCTGGTTTAGTTGGTTTTGCTCCTGTGAATATTCAGAAGAAGTCAACCATGCTCCCCTCTGTGTTTTACTTTGTGCCCATTCACTTCCACATACACATACGAGGCCCTGTCCAGAGCATCACAGGCTAGGGAGGAATCAGGACCAAGACTAAAAGCTGGGTCTGAAGAGAAGGCTCAGTGAGTATTTGCTCTGCAAGCATGAGAACCTGAGTTCAGATACCAGCATCCACATAAAAAGCTGGCCACACACACACAAAAACATACATGTACATACATGCGCACACATGCATACTCCCTCACCTGTGACCTAAACTTGGTAGGGGTGGAAGACAGGAGGATGGCTGGGTCTTGCTGACCAGCACTTAAGCTTCAGGTTCAGTGAAAGAAAGAGGAAGACACCTAACATCCTCTTTTGGGGGGCATGGAAGGTAAAGAAGGGAGAGATTAAAGGAAGATGATGACAAAGCACTCGCTCTCTCTCTCTCTGTGTTTCTCTCTCTCTCTCTCTCTCTCTCTCTCTCTCTCTCTCTCTCTCTCTCCCCCAGTAGGGTACAGAGTACAGAGTCTACTGAGAACATGGTAGGAAATATTTTCCCGCAAGCCCTTTATCTGAGAAGTGACCTCAGCCCTGGTCTCCATGCCCATGGCAGAGAAGAGGATCCTGTTTGGACAGCCGCCATTCAACTGTACAAGTGCTGTTTGACCTGTTTGCAAACAAGGGCCTCTCCTTCCAGAAACATTAGAAAAGGAAGAAATAGACAGTCATTTGGCTGACAGAGAGAGAGAGAGAGAGAGATGCAGTCAGTCTTTCCATTGGCTAGAACTGTATTCAACATAGACACCTGGACAGTGGAGATTCACAGCCCACTAAACTATATATATATACATATATATATATGTATCAGGATCCATATATGATTAACAACTATTAACAGGTTCAGATTGATGACAGGTAAAATACAAAGTCACTCAGGTGAATGGACAACATGTTTTTGTCTAAAGCAAGGCAAGCCACAACATCCAGGATGAATACAGCCTGATGTGTGTTTTCACAGGGACCATCGGATAGAATTTTATTTTATTTTACAAATGACTCTGTGTAGTCAGTCTAATAATAAGAAACCTCAACTCAACATTTAAATATTATCTCTCCCAAAAGGGGCTCCATCCTTTTGATGAATAGACTTGTGTGCTAAACAATTATACTTAATTATTATTATTACGGCTTTTCTAATAGAGGATTTAATAGATGAACAAGGAGTCAACTCAGTCAGAGACACAGTGATAAAATTAATTTTCTCACCAGGGGCATTACTTTGAGATTGCAATTTTGTAGATAGGAGTCTGGTGGTGTTATTTTTCTTTTACTTTATTTTCTTTTTTTTTTTTTTAATAAATGCACACATTGTGCTCTAGCAGAAAAACAAGCACAATAATGTCTCCATGAGGAAAAGTGACATTAGACCTAGGAGTTCAATGACTTCCTTCCAGCCTATGCTAAACCAGTCTGGATCCATGACAGAACACCGCCCCCCAGCCAGGCCAATAACACATGCTTAATCTCAACAGCCTAGGTCAGCACTCCTTAGAATGTATTCAGACTGACTTAACCTGGTTAAACTTTGGACTTAAATAGCAATTATTAAGAGAAATTTTGTGGGTACATTTATTCATTAACTCCCCTTTTTTATCATATCTGTTCATGACATTCTTCTACTGTGTCCTATTCAATACCCAACTGATTTCTCCATGTTTTCTTAAAATTAATATGAGTTCAAAGTTGAACCAAGCTTACCTTCTGGGCTCCCTGTCTTAAGAATGCACTAGCGAAAGTTTCCAAAATACAGTTGAGAAACCCAGCCCCCGTGATTGAGATTCTGCCTCTTTGAATAAACTCTGTCCTGGGGGAAAAAAGGAAAGAAAAGAGTTATAAAACACACACACACAATTCATCTCTATGGTTATCTGCATAAAATAAAATAAAGCAAGCCTTGAGGGTAAGAGGGACATTCATTGGGAAGAAGATGCCCTTACAGTGGGAGAGGGAAAGGGAAGGGTTGTGGGGCATCGATATAATCACAATACATCTTTTACTCTCAATTGTCAAAAACACTCATCTTTCATATCACTTTGCATTTGGATATGTAATTATAGACACTTTCAGCAGCACAATTACCATTTATAATTAACACAAAATAATATCCATAAAAATTGAGTAATTACCTGTTAAAACAAAAGATTCTATTTAAGGTTGACCTAACTATGGTACAGTTTATACAGAATAAACAGCAATCACTTCAATGAAAGAATATTCACTTCATGATACATGAAGCTACTGACACCAAGCTAAACTGATAGTTTCCAATTGCCTTCCAAACACTTACTTCCTACAGCCATAGATTAGTGCAGCTCTCATCCCCTACCAAAGAAATGTCTGCAGGAGAAGGAGGCTACCGCAAAGAACAACTGGCAAGGTGTAGAGAACCCAAAGTTTGGAGTTTCCATCGTACATGGAACATCAATAATACAAGCCCTGTCCCAAGGCCTGGGAAATACCCAAGAAGATGGGCAGAAAGATTGCCAGAGCAGAGGACAGGCAGGACTGTTGTCCTCTGGACATAGTGAAGATTTGCACCCGTGAACCCTCAACAGTAAGGACTGCCTACACAAAACCTACAGCAGCCCACACCAGTTGGCATTCCAGCACGGGCCAGGCCAGAAAGGGCTCATTAGGCCCCACCCCTACCAGCACTAGTTGACAAGCTAGTGGCAATGCACAGCTTCTGAGAAAGAAATCAGTTTTCTTCATGGACAAGCCCCGTGACAGGTTGTCCATGCCTAAGTGGCCAGTCACACACCCAATTGCATATGGGCAACACTAATTGGACACAGTAGGGTGTGTGTGTGTGTGTGTGTGTATGTGTGTGTACACACACAATTATGATGACAATATGAAGTTGAAAGAGAAAGAGAGAAGTGAGAGGAGTTGGTAGTGAATTATATCAAAATTATAATGTATTTGTGTATAAAATTAAAAACCAAAAAAAAATTAAAAAATTAAGAAATGATCACTCTTTGCGGGAGGGGTGCTATTTTTATTGTGTATATATATATATATATATATATATATATATATATATTTCTCTGCTCCCCTCCTTTCATCTCTCCTCCCCTTCTATCCATTCCCATGTTCACAATTTACTCAAGAGACCTTGTTTTTTTCTACTTCCCATGTAGATTAGATCCACACATGTCTCTCTTACGGTACTCATTGTTGTCTAGGTTCTTTGGGATTGTGATTTGTTTGCTTTATGTCTAAAAGCCAGTTATGAGTGATATTTGTCTTTCTGGGTCTGGGTTACCTCACTCAATTTGATGTTTTCTGGATTCATCCATTTCCCAACAAATTTCAAGATGTCATTGTTTTTCTGCTGTGTAGTACTCCACTGTGTAAATATACCACATTTTTCTTATCCATTCTTTGATCGAGGAGCACTTAGTTTGTTTTCAGGTTCTGGCTATGACAAACAATGCTGCTATGAACATAGTTGAGCATATGTCTTTGTGGTATGATTGAGCATCCTTTGGGTATATACCCAAAAAAGTGGTATTGATGGGTCTTGAGGAAAGTGTTTCCTAATTTTGTAAGAAATCACCATATTGATATCCAAAGCAGCTGCACCAGTTTGCACTCCCACCAGTAATGGAGGACTGTTCCATTTACCCCACATCCTCGCAAGCGTAAGTTTTCATCAGTGTTTTTGATATTGGCCATTCTGACAGGTGTAAGATGGAATCTCAGAGTTGTTTTGATTTGAATTTCTCTGATGGCTAAGGATGTTGAGCATTTTCTTAAGTGTCTTTAAGTCATTTTAGATTCCTCTGTTGAGAGTTCTCTGTTTAGATCTGTACCACATTTTTTATTGGACTATTTGTTCTTTTGATGACCAATTTCTTGAGTTCTTTGTATATTTTGGAGATCAGACCTCTGTCTGATGTGGGGTTAGTGAAGATCTTTTCCCATTCTGTAAGCTGCTGTTTTGTCTTGTTGACTGTGTCCTTAGTTTTACAGAAGCGTCTCAGTTTCAGGAGGTCCCATTTATTAATTGTTTCTCTCAGTCTGACTATTGGGCAAGGCCAGTTCAGGCACTCTCTCCTCTACTGCCCAAGGTTGAATTGTGTTTCTTGTATGCAGCAGAAGAATCAATTTTGTTTTCGTATCTAATCTGTTTAGCCTGTACCTTTTTATAGGTGAGTTGAGTCCATTTATATTAAGTGAAATTAATGGCCAGTTATTGCTAGTTCCTGTTATTTTTGTTTTCGTTGTTGGTAATGACATTGTGTGTGGTTTTTCCTTCTTTGGGAATTGCTGGTGTGAGATCATCTATTGTCTGTATTTTTGTGGATGTAGCCAACTTCCTTGGGTTGGAGTTTTCCTTCTAGTACTTTGTGTAGGGCTGGGTTTGTGGCTAGGTATTGATTAAATGGTTTTGTCATGGAATATCTTCTTGTCCATCTATGGTGATTGATGGATATAGTAGTCTGGACAGGCATTCATGGTCTCTTAATGTCTGCATAATGCTTGACCAGGACCTTCTGACTTTCATTGTTTCCATTGAGAAGTCAGGTGTAATTCTGATAGGTCTGCATTATATGTTACTTGGCCTTTTCCTTTGCAGCTCTTAATATTCTTCCTTTATTTTGCATGTTTAGTGTTTTGACTATTATGTGGTCAGGGTATTTTTTTTTGATCCAGTCTATTTGGTATTCTGTAAGCTTCTTGTACCTTCATGTGCATATATTTCTTTAGGTTAGAAAAGTTTTCTTCTATGATTTTGTTGATTATATTTTCTGTGCGTTTGAGTTGGACTTCTTCTCCTTCTTCTATCTCTATCATTCTTAGGTTTGGTCTTTTCATGGTGTTCCATATTTCCTGGATATTTTGTGTTAAGCTTTTGTTAGATTTAATGTTTCCTTTGACAGATAAGTCTATTTCCTCTATTGTATCTTCAGCACTTGAGATTCTCTCTTCTATCTCTCGTATTCTGCTGTTTATGCTGGCATTTGTGGTTCCTGATCATTTTCTCATAATTTCCATTTCTATAATTCCCTTGCTTTGTATTTTCTTTATGGTCTTTATTTCAGTTTTCAAGTCTTGAATGTTTCTTTCATCTGTTTTATTGCTCTTTCTTGGTTTTTTTTTTTTAAAGAGAGTTATTGATTTTCTCCAATTTTTTGTTTGTCTTTTCCTCCATTTCTTTGAGGGAATTTTTCATTTCCTCTTTACGGGCCTCAAATGTTCTCCTAAAATTATTTTTTAGGTCATTTTTTTCTACTTCATCTATATTTGGTTGTTAAGTCTTGCTGGGATAGGGACACTAATTTTTATTGGTATCACGTTGCTCTTTGTGGTGTTGAGTGTGCTCTTACCTTGTCTACTCATCTTTTTCTCTGATTGGTGTAGTTGGGGTTGTGTCTCTGGTGATCAGTCTTCCAGGTGCCAGTGGATCCAAGGATCAGACGGTTTCTCCTTGTACTGCAGTCAGGGCCACAGTTCCAGTCACCCTGGAGGTCACTCAGTGTCCCGGATGTGCGCAGAACTCCTGGGGGTTGCTCTGCAATCCCAGGGGTTGTTCAGGCCTGCTCCCATGGGGGTTGCTTGCTTGGAGTTGCTCCTGCTGAGGTCGCTGCCTTGAGCCTGCTCCAGCTGAAGTCACTGGCTCAGGCCTGTTCCCACAGATGTCCCTGGCTTGGCGTGCTCCCATAAGGTCCCTGGTTTGACGAGGTCAAACTTTTTTTTTTTTTGGTGTGTTACCATTTCTACCATTTTAATGAGCAAAGTTTTTCCAGTATTAATTATCTCCATATCATAAAACAGAGATTTGGGTTATACTTGAGAATGATATAAGATGGCTAAACAAGAAGACTCTAGCTCAAACCTCCCCCCCCCAGAAAGACAGTGATTTAACACAAATGTACAAACAAAATTACCTTCATGAGACCTCCTGAAACCAATTAAGAGGTGGCATACACCCAAGTGAGGGCAGAGCCAAGAATAGTCACATCAAAGCAAGTCAAGTGCGCTGTTTTCACTCACTGCAGTAGTGAAACTTTTCTGTTGCTACAACAGAATTCCTAACATAGCAGCTGCAGGAAGGAGAGGCTCCTACTGTGTATGGGTGTTGGTGTTTGTTTGTGGAATTGGGTGTCATGGAACCCAGGCTGGCCTCAAAGTCTGTGAGGTAGGGACTGACTGGCCTTGAAGTTCCAATCTCCTGTCTCCAGCTCCCAAGTGCTGAGGTATAGGCACACACACACACACACAGACTCTCTCTCTCTCTCTCTCTCTCTCTCTCTCTCTCTCTCTCTCTCTCTCACACACACACACACACACACACACACTATGCCTCGCTGGAAGAGAGGTCCCAGTTCATGGGCTCTAATCTGTAATGCTGGGATTAACATATATAGTGTAATGCTGCCTGGCCAGCTCACATCCATGCCATTGGGAGACTACTTGCTCATATCTCAGTGGATTCACAACAAAGAAAGAAAATTCCAGGCACTCAGCTGGCTTTATTCTTTTTCCCCCTTTTCTCTAATCCAGAACCTCAGCCCAGGGGATAGAGCCATCCACGTTCAGTACAGATTTTCCCCAGAAGAGCTCAATCCAGTCTGGAAAAGTTTTTACAGACACACTCAAACCTGGGCCTCACTATTGCCCTGGTGTTCTTAGTCCATCTAAATCAGCCATCAAACTCCAGATAGCTCCCTCCCACCTGGCACAGTGGGGCAGAATGGGGAGAAAACTACAAAGGCATGTTTCTCCCAGAAAGGAGATAAATGTGCATCCATACTGTGACTTTAGCAGGTCTTGCCTAGAGACATGGCTCCAGGGAAG